AAACGACGCATATTTCTTGTGACCAAGTTTCTAAGGAACCAGTGCAGATCGAACTAGGTGCTTAAATCTGATTTTTTGGCAGGTTTTCTGTTTTATTCTTTCGTTTCCATTTTTTTTTCTTGTCTTCTTTTCGATACGTAGCTACTTTGACATCTTCGAATCAGTTCACATTTGAATTCCTATCGATAGAGTTATATTCGACACGGCTTCAATCTCGTCCTTTCCGATTTCCTGTTTAGTTTTCCACATTGGTCGTTCACCCATTTTAGTTGTATTCATTCTTCTCCGATGCATTTCACAGACCGAAATGGGACTTTTCACAGTTAGCCGCTTTCCCATCTCAATTGGTGACTTGAATGCATTGCGATGCATTTCAAATTATTCATTGCGATTGATAAAGTTGTGGAGGTGGCCAGAGAAATCCCTTTGACCGATGAACACATTGCGTTTCCTCCGGAAGTGGCTGGGAATCGGATAGAAAGATTCCCATAAACCACTATCGTGTTCTGTGAGGATTCCTGCAGGCTGTGACTTTTTTTCATTTTGGCTCTATCTTAGTACAACTTTTTTTTCTACAGAGTTTTCTTGAGTTTGATTGAAAAGGACTATAAGGAAACTTATGAGGATATGGGAGTATTTCACTTTCTTCAGTTACTGGTCTTTTTTTTTTTGCTTTTTCAAGCAAAACCGATGACAGTTTTAACCACTATTAGTTTAGCACTTAGTTCTGGGAAAAGGATGGTTTCGTAGTTGAAGGGAGAATCAGCTCTAAAGGTCAAGGTAAATGTTAAAAATGAGAAGAGCATGGAAGCGGTAGATAATACAGAGAGGTAGCATGCGAGATGAGAGCTACGTCAAAAAAAAAAGAGATTGACATGGAAAGGTTTTACAGTAACGTCACTTTGTATGGCGTACTTGAGAAACTGATTACCCAAAAGCTCGTTTTGTCGAAGAATCCTGTCGATGCGAGCATAGTTTTTATTTTCCCGATAATTTTACGTCTAGAGAAGTTTTTTTTTCGCAGAAGTCTAGATGCAGCCGTATTAGGTGGGCTATTTCAGTTGTTACTAGGAATTCGTCAAAATTCGTGGGTGGGAGGGGATCTTCCATTTAGGAATCAGATTGCTGTCAGTGTTTCTGGAGGTCATACTTACCAATGGAGTAGTTGAGTTCTTTCCCAGTTTGGGAGACAGAACTGTTACATAAACTTACTGCTTCATTTGGCAGTCCAAGATTTGGGAATAACTCACAGCCGCGATGAGAAAGTAAACCATCAGCGTGATATGGGTGGTGTACATTCGTGTACTGTCAGAGCGATTTCCTCAAATCTTAAGAAGGAACCTCTGAGCTGCCTATTTTGAAAGCACTTGGTTAGACAACATTGTGGAAAGACGAACGAATGACAGGTAGTGGAACGATGACGAATCTTATTGGGTTTTGAAAAAACGTGGTTTTATTATGGAATGAAATACTAGGATACAAAAAAAGTAGACATTTCGAAGCCAGTTCTTCCACTCTTGCAACGTAGCCGTAAAAATTTGAACGTTCGATAACGTGAATCGTCGACTTTTGATTTGGCACCAGTTACTAGCAATAAAGTAACTCTTCAAAATAACTAAAAGAGGGCTCTTCCTGATTGAATTAGTTTGCCGTTTCTTACCTACTATCTATGTTGATAATTTTTGGTGTTCCTGTATATCGCTTTCGAATCACTTCAGAGTTCCACGGGCCATCTGCTCTGAATGGTGTAGTGAATGTATGAGGAGGTCTAGGGTCTATTTGTGGCTGACATCCATAAAAATGAGCCATTAATGGTGTTATCATAGCGTACTGTGTAGGTCGTTGTGATTACGTCACATGTTTTTTTTATAACGAATAGGTTAGATGTTCTCCTAGTGAGGATGTGGTTTGTTTTCAAGATACTTAGGAGTGTTTGAGGGTGGAGAAAAGAAGTACTAGAAACTTTATACGCTACAAAAATGTTTAGATAAATTAATGCATCCGCAGAGTATTTATCTAGAGAGAGTTGAGCTCTAGAAGGCTTTGAAAATATCTGTAAGATATTTTTATTATCTAGATTTTTTAGACTCGTTTATTGCTTTATATGCTTTGCAATAGAATGACTAAGTAGGAGGGAGCGCCTATCCTTGAACATGGTCAGGTTCGATCCCTGACTCAGGTCATTGTAAACACTCACCTCTTAGGGTCAATTAAATCATCGTCAACTCACCTGCGACGATCAAGACACCGCGTGAGCCGTTGCTCCGACCCCCTCCAGGTTTTGTACAGGAATGAATCAGCAATCATTTGTCAAGGAGAATGATCTGGGGAGCAGAAATCTGGTTAGACCCTACCTGGTTAAGCTGACGCTGCAGTCGAAATCACAATGTTTCATTTTTTATTTGCTGCATATTGTTTGTCTTTGCAGGCTATAATGAAGTATATAACCACAATGATGCCGAGATACTTGCAAAACTCAGAACCCCAAACCAATTTAGAAACCGCGATTACCCCTTGCGGAGGCTCGCGGAAAATGTAATCGCAGGTTCGAAACTGGCCTAGGATTCTGAGTTTTGCAAATATCTCATCATCGTTGTGGTTATATTTATATGGGTACTTCCTGAATGCGTTGTCACCCATATGTTCTAGAGAAATCATTCATTTACAAAAAAATTTGATATGGACGAAAACTGAATAAAAAAACAACTGAAGAAAGTGGACATGTTGCTAATGGATATTGGGTCTTGACGCGAATTCATGTTGCATTAGTTAACGAGTACGACAAGTTCAGTTGCTTGATCATCGTCTTTTAATTTCTGTCTGTCGCAAATCTCATCTCATCACCTCCAACTTCACATCAATTTTTTTTATTCTCGCTAATTGAATACGTATAAAAATTGCCTCTTTTCAATTAACAGTGCCGACCAGCCGATCAATACCTATGTTTTGTGCTGTGGGAGTAGGAAAGTCTGCACAATGAGGATCAATGTCCATGTTTTATGTTGACAGGATGAAAAAATCTATTTAGTGTGTGAAGAACGAATGATCTATTCTGTTTATAGGGCTGTTCGGAATGATTGACGTTCACACGATCGGCAGCGTATTAGTCGCGACCCTTGCGCTATCATAGCATTGCGTCATAGGCAATGCGATAAATATTACAGTAATGCATAGGTCATTTAAAGGGGCACAAAACTCTTCGTCGACTATTCACTGATAGTTGTATAACACCTTAACTTCAGTCGAAGCGTAAGAGTAGGGATGATTAAAGTGTAAAGATCACAGACCTGTAGATGGAAATGGCTTAAATGGTTTTCTTAGTTTCATTTCCGTTTCATGAAATGAATTTTAATCTTATATGATTTTTGTGGACAAGACTCCGTCAGAAATAGAATATCTAAGATGTTTTTGGATTTACGACCCGGTCAACAAGTGTAAATGATTTGTTATTCTATTTATTTATTTGTGGTTCCACTTTTCATTGGTTGGAAAAGTAATTATGGGATAAGGCATCTGGCGTTATTCAATTCCTAAGAGATGCGGTCATGCATTCAGTTCCGTTTATATCATCGTAGGGTTTACTAAATGCATATTTGCTCTATACAGTGACTTGTGGTGGTTTACTGAGCTACCGGGAGTGTGGGTATTGTTGGGCACCTCTAACCTCCATCAACATTACATGTTCTTCTTCTTTATATTCAATTAGTGGTCGTGGTAAAACTGGTTTAATGGAATAACATGCATTTTTATTAGCTGGTAGTCGGTTGCTTAAAACGTAGCAAAATCGTTGTAAAACCTTAGCTGCAAATCCTTGAAGCTTATTGAGCAGTGCCATGTAGCACCGGTTTGTCATACCGCTGGTAGTTTGTTCGATCACCATCGCTCGACACCCGCCATCACCTCCTATTGTGTTGGTCCATTCTGTGGAAAAGTTCGACAATTGTACTGTTTGTGCTAACGATGGAACATTGATTTGTAGTCGTTGAGTAATCAAAGCTATTGTTCGTCTTCATCGTATTAGTGAATATAACGATACGAAATTCGTCCACTATTTCGACCGGAATCGTCAAATACTGGATCATCTGCCGTTTATATTTTTACGAATAGATTTCTATTTAATTGACGGTTAGATGATGTATAATAATATATAAAGACTCAACGCCACATCGTGACGATGAGACCAGGGCGGAGTTGTTCTGACAGTCCACGCCGACGGACATGGCGATGCTGTCGGTGGTTCACGCGGCGGACGCATCGGTCGACACGGTTCCGCCTTGTCTGGCGGCACCTATCCATTCACCTGACAGCCTTTTTTTCTTTCATGGAACATTTCAGTAGCAGTTTTTTTTTCTCTACTCCGTCTATTTAGAAGCTTTCGTTGTGTATAATAGTGATACCACGGTTATAGCGGCTTATTCAATTACGCTTTGCGTTGTCATCGTATTTGGAAAGTATTGAGGACAAAGGGAAACGAGTACTATCTGGTTAATATCACAATGTGTAACTTTTATCTACTGCTCATTATTTTTTAGAGTAGGGCGTTATGTAAAATACAACCACAGTGATGCTGAGATGTTTGGAAAACTAGGATTCCAAACCAACTCGAGGCCCAATTACCCTTTTTGAGAACGCAGATGTTATACGCGGCAGCACTGAGGTTTATCGTTCTGCCTTTCTCTGGCCCGGTGTTTCTACGCTAACGGTACCGTCACTGATCACCCGTCAACGGTAATGATCTGGGAGCACAAATCGGCGTTGAACTCGGTTAAGCTGGCTGGTGCCGTACTCGAAATCGCAATGTGTAACTTCTATCTACTGCCCATTATTTTTCACTGCAAGGTATTATGTGAAATACCTGAAATATCTGGTTAAAATAGGAAACCCAACTATCAGGAAACTATTTGGATGAGCAAACAAAAAAACTGGTAGGGTGATAGTATAAGACTTAGATAATAGGATTCAATTAGCGATGTTTTCACTCTTGACTGTCTGAAGTCAACATGTTCATAGGTGTGCTTGCATCCATACTTTTTTTCGAGTGCAGTTTGTACAGTTGAAATAACCACGAATATTGATCGGTTTGAGTTCCAAACTATTACAGAGGATGGCAGACGTAGTGAAATTCTTCTTTTTCTTTTCTATTGTTCTATTGTTGTGAAAAAACTCTGTACATGTCGTCACACCTGATGTTCAGAACTCGTCACGCGTATGATCCTTTACAACGATTGTATCCTTTTTCTTCGCTTCTTGTACCGTCGCATCAAATTGAGCAATATCGGTCGAAGTTTTCTAATCTACTACGTTTCTGTCGTACTTTCAGGCACTCTTCCGCTGCCTCATCGATCCCAGTGCGCTGCTTCAGTAGAGATGCGTGGACCACCACCGGCATGGTTGCCGCCGTGTCCACCGGATCGAGACCACGACTACGAAAATAACTACGAGGATCCGGAAGACATTAGAGAACGGGGTAGGTAACACTGTGACGAAATCGTTAACGTAAAGACCAAACTCAAGCCGACATAGATTACTTAAAAATGGCTTCAAAACGGATATTTAATTGAGGTTCTTGGAAATCTTATGTGGAAATTTCATCAGTAACGATTTCCCAGATGAACTAATCCTTAGTTCTTTGTTGGTAGCAATGAATTTTTAGCATATACGTGGCTCAAAATAGCTCAATAATTGTTAATCTAGCCAGCACAGAAGGCTTAAAAGTGGCTCCAAAAATAGACAATGTTCACTTGGAGCTTCTTGATAATTTATCCAAAGTTTTGGATATTTGGACAAATGGATGTCTTCCAAGTAATGCAAACTCTGAGCTAAGGTTAATAACAATAAATCTTTAACTTAAGCGTGCTAAAATGTCTGCAGTGATTTCTGGGAATGCACCGTTCCGGTTTTTTTGACGAATTGTCAACCTCGCTATTATGTTCCTAGTGTACGTAAGTACAGTATCTTTGTGTATTTAAATTACCGTTATCCACTTCCTCCAGAAATTTCCTGGTGTTCGAATGTTTGAAAATTTAAATAACGGAAAATTTAACATCCTCGCATCCACACCCAAAAATGTTTGTTTTTCTTAATTCGTATTTCTGAGTACTTAAATTTCTGGTGCCCCACAACGGTTTACCGCCTCATCGTGGCTGGGAGGTGTTCTTGGGTGTCGGACTGCAATGTACAGCGGGGGGATTCGTCTACCCCGCAGGGCCTCCCGAACAGAAAAGGAGTCCGGCGGCAATACCAGGATCCACCACCTTCTTGGTATCAAAGTCGCATGGTGGTAAATCTACCTCTGATCCACAAAGGCTGCGAATGCCTGCCGTGATGACGGCCTGGAGCAGACTTTGGCCAGGCTGTCCTTAGGATTCCAGTGAACCACAATGGCTTAACCAGCAAATCTCTGAAAAATGGTGATTATGCTTGAGACCGCACAACTTGTGATGAGTAATGACAGGCTGTTCAAGGATCAAGTAAGTAAATTACTGGTAAGTTGGCATAGCCGTAGAGTGCAATCAGTCTTGAAATTTTTAACATCTGGTGGTTATATGAATTCGGCTATTCGGATTGCAATTTCCGGAATTCATTTGTTCAGCTACAGTTCGGCTGTGATGAATTCGATGCTGTTAGATGTTCATAGACAAATTTGAGACATTTTTGGCTCTATGAAATGGTACGTCTGTGATCAGTGAAGTACATTTAGTGCATTGCTCGATGAGATATCGATCAACGTTTTCGCTGTAGAATAAGAGTAGCCCCATCCAATACCTCGCTTAATGGGAAATCCACCTCATGGTGCTAGGGATTTCAAGGTTGAACTGATGAAAAAGTGTCGAATGTGGTTGTTGCTTTGGCATATACTATAGGGAGCTAGTTCATGTACAAAATAGTGTGTGATTCTAACAGACTTCTCTGTAGACAATTGAATGAGCCTGGAAGAGGAAACCGAAGGCTCCATAGGAATAAATGCATCACTGTTATAAACACCCGTGGGTGGAGTGGCGCCCAGCTAAACGATGAATGCTCTTCTAATAAGAATGGTCTCTTTGTTTTTTTTAAACTAATCTCTTTTTAGAAGGGGGTTTTAAAGGCGCAAATAGTGCACTCGATATCGATGTAGCTTTCTACCTACAAAGACCTCGTTCGACTCCGCACAGGCCAGCCACACCTACCATCTCTCCGGAGTTGAAACATTGCTTCCAGACTTGTCTGGAGAGTTCGCTATGAGGCCCAAGATCAGGGAACATTCTATAGAACGGCAGTGCCAAGATTCCAGGAAGAATCTATTGGGCAATATTCGACAGTATTTGTAAGGAAGGTCGGAAATAATAGGGAGTCAAAACTACACGGAGTTTCTAGGACCTCACAATTCTTCATACAGTTTTGTTTTACTATTCATCATTTTGAATACTGCAGACCAATCAATCTTTTTCATGGATAACTTTTGCTTTGTTTTCTATTTGGCTGTTTTACTATTCTTGGTCCATAGGACCGATATATAATTCAAAGTTTAAATTTCCTTAAGTTTAAGAGTGTAAGGAGTAAAACCACTCTAAGTACGAAGACGTGAAATATAACTGCAGTAATGCCGAGATATTTGCAAAACTGCGGACTGCAGATGTCTGTGGTGGAGATCGACACACAATGACGCTTTCCGGCGGCAAACGCATTCTCTACCACACCATGCGGGTCCTTCGTTTCGCCTTTGTTCAACCGTTGTTTTGTAGGTGGAGTGAGCAGTCAGTCGTTAACGTGATTGATCTGGGGAACACAAGTCGGCATTGAACCAGTTAAGCTGAAACTATAGTCCACTCAGAAAGGCGAAACGAAAGACCCGCATGGTGTGATGTTGAGCGCGTTAGCCTTCGGTGAATGGCGTGTAATGGCGTGTTCGATCTCCACCGCAGACGCTTGCTGTCCAGAGTTTTGCGAATATCTCAGAATAATTGCGGTTATATTTCACATCATACCCTGACATGAAAAAGGAGTAGGCAATAAAAAAGAAATGATTACATTAAGTAAGAAGAATTTGAAGCGTTAGGACCAATATGTTACTTCTTCAGAGTTCTTCTAAAAATTCTCTAAACGAGAAGAAATGACAAGTATTATTTGGTACTTGTATTCGAACAGTATTGATTCTGTGTACATTTCGTTTTCAAAAAGTGCAATACGGGCAGCAAACGGGGTTGTGGTATGGGAAAATCGGCGGCTGAACAGGGCAACTGCGGTACCATCCGTATATGAATTATATGAATACTGGCGGTGGCGCTTTGATCTTTCGCGTCGTTCGTTCGCTTTTTTCTGCGTTCACAGTAGATTCTGGTGAATCAGACTGTGGTTGCATTCAGAGCTTTCGTCACGAGACCTTCTACTCAACGCCACAATCACTGCCACACCGCCCAAGTATAACTCGTACGAAACGTCGTTATCACAACAGGTGAGTCAATCATCCATGATCATACTGGTCGATCAATTTGCATCTTTTGTATTGAGCTCGAATCATAGCTTAACTTGCGGACGTTTTACTTCCAATTTTCTCCATATATTCAATAGTGTTAAGAAGAATAGCTCTTCATAGAACTTTAGATTTCTGCGTGTGGATATTCCTTCTCCTTTTCTCGATGCATCTTCATGCGCCTTAACTAATATAAATAATGAAAATAACTTAATAAGATTGCTAAGCTCTTTTACCCATTGCTTGCTGAAGTGCACTGAATGGCGGTCACGTGAGAGGGACTCCTGTTAGTACCAAAAAGGAGGAAAAGTAAAAGATTGATTAACTTAAAATCACTTTTTTCGAGACAATAATATTTAATAGAACAATAATAAAGAGAGTGTTGACATTTCGGAATGCTGTATTGCTTACTTAGTGATCGATAGAACTAGCTGAGAGACAGGCGAAACGAAGGAACCGCATGGTGTGGTGGTGAGCGCGTTACTCCCCGGAAAGGACAATAGCGCGTTCGTTCTCCACCGCAGACACCTGCGGTCCGGAGTTTTGCCAATATCTCAGCATCATTGTAGTTGTTTCACAAATAATGCTCTGCCGTGAAAACTTGTAAAAGGCAGTAAATAGAAGAAGTGAACATTGTTTATTCAGTGTTCATCCATCGTTTATCTTTCGTTTTAATGACTGAAGTCTTCTTGCCGTGTTTTTAAAAAATGTTTTATGCCGTTGTTTTCCTCTCGTTCATTTTGTCCATCACTATTCTATCTCTCTTCCCCTTTCTTTTTTCAACTGATCTCTGGATTTTTTTTTTTGCTTTTTTTTGAATTATTTGTTGCCTTAAACCTATCTTCGTCCAACTTTTAGAATAGGAAGACATCTTCATTCTGAAACGCAATGTCGCACATCTTCTGTGAAACCCTCTGAACGTCCTTTCGGCGCTGAGCTTTGTAAATTGGTCATTGGCTCAGCTACTTAAAAACATCTGAGGCACACCATAATTTCGAATGTTCTGTTATGTTCACTTATTCTTAAATTTTTCTTTCTCTAGCTATCAACAGTAGGCCACCTTGGGAGAAATCAAGTCCACATTATATACACGGAGAAAAGTTTCTCTATAATTGCTCAATATGGTTTCACAGCTTAGCGAAGAAACATCCACTCTGTTTCTGTTGCAGTTCAAGTTGGTCACCTTTGACTCCAAAAGAAAACATTTAATCATTTTTTACTAACTTTAACAAATTGGTTTTAAAAAATTGGCACTTAGGAGAAGGGACTGAATGTTGAACAAGTATGGTCCTGTATGGATTTGGTTCTTCGTTTCGAATCCCATCATGTTAGTTCCGCTTGTATGGTCACGTTAGCCGACTGAAGTCACGAACGAAAATCGTCCTTGAATCATCGCCTCGGCACCTATTCGTCCTTCATAGTGCTAAACTCTTATGATTGTATAAGGCTGATGTTCATCATCATTTTTATCAAATCCTTGGCGTTTGTAATTTTTGTGGGGTGTGAACTTTTCTCAAAGATTTCCCTTTCTTTAAACTCATCGAGATAGTGTTATTTATAAACGGATTGAAACGCCTTCTTAGCGTGCTTATCCGTGGTGTTATAGGTTCTTTTCCTCGTGTAGCATATGGAGGTTTTTTCCTATTCTTACAAATTCTTCTGCATAGTTCAGCTCTGGTACGTGCTTGATTTCAGCGCCGCACGGCGGTGAATGAGCCAAGAGCACCACCAATGGACGAATGGACGTCGTTGACAGAAGGCCAAACGGTTCTACATAAAAATGCCGAAGGCGCATACTATATTCCAAGCGGTTCAGGTGAGCGAGAGTACTATGGTTTATGTCAGTGTGCGGGTTTTACTCTATCCAGTATTTCATAATTCGGTTGAAATGCATGGATGTTTTTTGCCATTAGTAGGGATTTGTGTTTCTGAATGTATTACGTATCAAGTCGGATTTTTCACTCTTCTCGTGGAGACGAGATTTCACAACCGTCGCTTTAAACCGATTATTTGTACACGTGACAAGCCTTTGAGATTATATAGTCTCTGGTCGGTTTATTCTGTCACCTCATACTAGTGGTAGTCTTATAAACGCATTGAGTCCATGTTTTTCATTTTGATAAACAACCATGAGATTGTGAGCACAATATCTGTTCGACAGTGGCTAATTTTTCGACGACTTTCGCTTTCTTTAGAGCCTGGATATTACTACATTTATTTCCTTAATGAGTCTCAGAGGGAAGGATCGTTAACAGCCAACTGCACTTTTTGAGCTCTAAAATGTCCAATGTCATACAGATGGTCTGCAACTTCAAAAGTAACACATATTTGATACTAATGGAGTGCTGTGTTAGCGCAGCGGATTACGCTTGTTTTAGGTCGGGTCATACTGGCCAGGTTCAAAAACACAGACCCAGTCTTAACCTTCAATGACTAAGGGACTCAATCCCTTACGGGAATAACAAATGCAGATTCTTCTAGGTGTTGCACTTCATGCCAGTGCTGGGAGAGGTAGTATTCATCCTATTGGTATACTATTTCCGAGCTGTTCGGAAAGCCTGTTTTAACAAAGTATTTTTCGTTGTTCAATGCTCCGAATTGTGTCTGGCCCAAATGTTCGACAACATTTATGAATCGACATCATTTTCTAAATTTCCTTTAGGTCCCTTAATACATGCCCACTTCATCTGAACCATCCGTTCATGGTTTCCAGTGATCTGACATTCCTTAGGTCAAGGTGATCTTTTGAACTGTGGTTCCTAAAATCACTTAGAGGATTGAAAATGAACGGGTTCATTGGCAGTAGATGTCTAGAGAAATCGTTTAAACAAAAGAAAAAGAAAAAGAAATCAGTGAGTAGCCATTTCTACGTTAGACCTTTTCAGACCGACATATTTAGCAATTTCTAAGGTAATATGAAATAAACCTATGAGTCAGAAATCACCGAACGTAAACCAACTTACGTTCGGCTTCATCATTTCTTATCCTCCGATTTTAAAATTTCCTCAGTTCACATCCATTTGGTCTTTTGTGTTCAGAACTTTGTGAAGAAGTTTGTTTTATTTCCTATAGAAGTGCAGCATGTTCTATGAAAGTAAAGGGTACCTCTGCGTTGTTATAACAGTGTTGGGTCAAGTAGAATGTGTATCTGGGTCGTTGCGCAATACCACCACTAAATGTTTCCTTAAGGCGGTATGGTTCAAAGGTTAAGATATACGGTTACAACAAGTGGTCGTTGTCGCTCATTCCGGTCGGTTGTGAAGTGTACAGTTATTGAACAAGGGGGTGCGGCCCAATGGCCTCATTGCTGGAGGAAGTTGCCGATGCATTGGTAGATAATCCATTTGAGACGAATCGGGAATTAATAATACGAGGAATGTTCAAAAGTAACGATGTGGATGAGTTAAGGGAACATATTCAAAGAGGAGTTCCTTAACCCCCACGCGTTGACGTTCACTTCTAACTCCATCATATGTTCCCATTTGCCTTCTTCGCTTATGGAGGTCTATTGCCAACTACCTAAACTCAAGTTTGTGTTATATGTTACCTCCTGCCTACTTTGTTGGCATGAATGTCCATGCTTTATTAAATTTATCCTTGCGGTAAGAAGTGAGAAGACGTTACGTTTTGGCTTCGCGATTCACGAAACGAAAATCTGATTACGGTGAGAAGTCCTGAGGAAAAGGAGTTTTTCGTTATGAAATTAGATTTTGAGCTCATTAGATTCTTTGCAAGTCATCATCCTTTTCTCCGGAATAAGGTAGTTCTGAAAAATATTGAGTCATTTCAATAGAACCAATCATTTGGTTATAAAATGTTTTCTTTCTGAGTATGACCAGTTCCCATCAGTCAAACGAAGGGCCATTGTTCCTATTACGACAATGCTCTAGAGTGGGTCGGTTAGTTATGCTTATTAAAGGACCTCATCACAATTGACTCATAAGGTTATAGTGGTGGTTGTTAATGTGATCAGCGCATTTCTGTTCACCATCGCGCAGAGGTCGCCAGCGACTATGTTCGCAAAAGTGGGCGTGGTTGGTCAGTGGAACCGCCTCCGGCGATCAAGACAGAATCCTGAATTCTCGTTAGACCTACGTATACTCTGGTGACGATCACTAAACGATCATTAGGTCATCCATGTATGGCGGTGTGAGTGTGCAACATACAACAGGCCACCAAAGAGCGTACTGTAGTTTTGCGAGGCGGTCCCAACTCGATGACGATGCATTGCTGGTGTACGGTATTGCAACACCCGGTCGATCATCACCATTTAATGCGACACCAATTTCAGTTCGAACAACAGCGTCTTCACTCTCTCCAACGTCTCAAACTCGATATTTTGAGCAGTGAGTGCTTGTTTCGTTGTTTTAATTTTTCATTCGTTTATGGGCTAGTTTTGCATCGACACAGTAGAAAAACGAGAACATATTAATACGTCCCTTTTCTTTTTTTCATGTTTCACTCTTTTTTCCTTTTCTTTGTTTTTTTCTAGTAGTTTTTCTAACGTCTTCTCGACTGTCCACTAAACGATCAATATCCATTTTATCCATTGTTGAACGAAGTTATGGTTCATTTATATAGTTCTTATCGCCACTTTCTGTTGTTGTGGATTGGCTGTTACATTTTAAATCGGCAAGTAGTGCATGGGATTGATATCATGCATTATAGACAATCTGTCGGACGTTCTGCTTCTGATTTCCTGAGCATTACTAACTTTTCCTTTCTAGGAGGAATTTTGGCAGAAAGAACCCTCTAGGATTCTTTAGGCCCGTAATAGGATTCTAATGGATTTTTTTAATGGAATATATGCCAGAAGAAGTAGCATCTTTATGTTTAATGTTATATGAGAAAGAAAAACCTTCCTTTATTTAAGAAGGAGGTGAATAGGAGAAAAAAACAAACGGACCGTTTAACTACTTTCAAGACGTGTTCCAATCAATACGTTTTAATAATGTGAAATAATAAGTCGACTATTGTGTTTTAATACTCGGCTGTATTTCCGTTTTCAGTAGGAAGATCGTGGGAGCATTGTATTCACTGCTGCTCTACGTTTCTCTCATTCCACATTCCCACTGAAATCAGCTTCATAGTGCTTAAGTAGAATTTTTAACCTGTTTTTATCCTTTGCTTTATTCAAACCTTTCATTCGGGTGCGTATTCTTTCTTCGAGTATTCTTTTATTCGAGTTTTCTATTATGTCCACTGGGCTATATGTCGGGAGATCTTTTGGTTTAATGCTCGAAAAGACGTATTTATTGACTTAATAGTGCAAAAATTTCTCGCCACTACTTCTTCTCATTTTCAACAGCAGTAAGTCGCATAATTTAAAGAAGTACGATGTTCATTTTCGAAGGAGAGAGGTATTCGTTGTTCGTTTTTGGTCGATGACAGTTTTATTCCTTATGGAATAATATGTTCTCATAATTATTCTAATATTGGAAGTTGCATTGGTTACGATGTCTGTTGTTACGTAATGAGCTTCGCCACCTCTGTGCCTCCGTCGACGACCATCACCAATGCCAGACCTATTGGTCCGTGTTAATCTGCTCATACATAGCAGTGGCCTCGTGACCCCACTCCTGTGCTTACATTAATCGTAAACCTTCTCGTTGACGATTTTTGTGTTTTTGATTACCTGCGGGATTCATTGCTTCATTTTTTTCCTTCCTAAAATAAGCCATCAGTATTTTCGTTTGCGGGGCGTTTTTCTACATTAATAACAGATTATGAAATCATGCTTGCTGCTATTAGAGCATCTTTGCTGCTATTAGAGCATCCTTGCTGCTTTTAGAGCATCCTTGCTAGATAAATGTTTATTCTATTGTGGATAATTCGTTTCCATTATGCACATTCATGCACATCTTTACAACTCAGTGTTTCGTTTTGTTTACTCTCTATAAGTTTACACTTACAAAATTATCCCTAGTAATACCGTTGCCCTTTCCTATATGCTCAGTATCTCCTAGCAAATTTTGCTTAGATGTTTTTCTAAACATTCTCAATCGGTTTTCCCTACAACTGAAAACTGCTTGGAATAACAGCCAAGCAATGTCACTAGCGTTCGTATTATAATTTCAAGATGTAGGGCCTAATAAATCATTTTATAGAGCAAATATACATCCAATCAACTTTACGATGCTGCGGATACAGTGGAATGCATAGCGATTCCTTAAGGGATTTATCAGTGCCACAACGCTCTGCCCTTTATATTCTGTGATTTTACGGTGGTCCTTTGCCGAAAAACACTGTTAGTGAAATTTTAATCACATAAAAGATCAACTGCAAGTTACATGTCCTACTTGTGATTGCTGTCGTCGCGAGTGTCACCAGCATGTCGTTTTAATGAGTTTTTAACTTCATGCGAGTTATCATGTGTGCAAACGCCCTTCTTAGGTAGAAGTTTCCGAAGTATCACTAACTCCTATAAAGTCTCGTTAGTGTACAAATATGGCTTATGTGGAAAGTTAGCATTTTGATGTTTTGCATAAGAATATAGTGGCGGTGTAAATACTAATGCTAGAAGTGGACCCGCCTGTTTGTGAACAGGTTCTCAAAGCTCTTGATCATGGGCGACTGTTACGATTCGAATCCGCTTACTGTAGCATCAGGTTTCTTACGCATTTATGCGTGATTCTTAATAAGAGAAACCCAACACCATCCGACATCTTGTTATTGGTAGGAATCCGTGCATATCTAAATATACCAGCCTCTAGACTACACAGCTGAGAAAGGATGATGTATCGATTGAGTCATCGTAATAATCATTACACTTACTTCGTATGTCTCAATCGTCCCAACGACGCTACAAGAACTATTTCGACCCTGTGAAGGGTTGGACAATTCTAATTGTGGAGTTTTGAATGTGGCAAGTTATGAATGGTGGTGTAATATGGGTTTTTCAAGAAGAAAATATTTCGCGAAACGTGAGAAAGCTCGTAGTATAGTTATAAGCTCAATAGCATATTTTGTTCAGTAAAATGATGTCAGTTGTCGTCAAGAAATAAGAATCATAAATGGCAAGTGAAATAGATCGTTTAAACGCTTGGAGCATCAATTGAAATGTGCATCACCTTAAGACACTTGATCTTTCTTGCGCAACCACGACTTGTTGAATAATTTGGGTTGCATGGCAACGTATCAAGGGCTCTTCAACATCGTCTGAAGAACACGACGAGAGGCGGTGTTACGCCTTAATTAGTGGCTGGCCTCGTCTTGGCGAATATCCCGTGGTCTACATAGAGCCATGGGCGACACATGGGGCTGCCTTCTTCCGCTTATTTCGGTCTCAGTAAATTTCGACACAAATGAGGATTGTCTAGTGTTCTTATGTAGTTCCTTGCGTTATGAAGTCGAGAAATGGCTTGAGCTCAGTTTCATATTCGGTGCTAAATCACTTCTTTTGTCTGAGAAATGTTGTGGGGAAGGGAAGACTAACTAGAGAAAAACTTCTAAGACTGCGGGTCGTTCTTTGGGTCTTAAGCTAAAACAGGTATTTATTTTGTATATATGAAGTATGCTTCAGTAAAATAAAACAATATGAGATAATGTTAAGACACAGAACTTTAGAAGACTGTATGTTTTGTAACAAAAAAGTGCATTATTTATGAGTTCACTGTTCTTTGAAGCCAATTTTTAACGATTTCAAAAGAATGCACCTATGTTTACGAAGATTTCCAATTGATGAAGTGTTGTTGTTGTTAGCGACCTTAGTATACAACAACCTTCAATCGTGGCAAAGAGACGTTCCTCAATGTCAAACTGGGATAAAAAATGAACAGTTCTGCCTCTCTGCAGATGATCCAACTCGGATGAGAAGGAGTTCTACATTTACACCCCTTAACGCAGCTATGAGTAATTAGTAATTAGGTCTGCAGTCATTACCGTGCTTGAAGAAGAAGAATGGTCATAAGACGGAAAACCCCTCTGCTCCTCTCTCACCTAGAAAATGCGGTAACAACATTTTTTGCTGATCTAGCAAGTTGAAATCCCCATTTCCGGACTCTAAAAAAATAACCTGGCTATTGCTGTAAAAAAGAGGACAACATATTTATAATCTAAAAAAAATGCTCAAAAAGCGAAGTGCGAACTGAATGAGATTAGTGCTCTGTTCCGTACTATTTGTCAAAACTGACCATCTAAGCAATTATGACCAGAAAAATATGTACTATTAAGATGCACTATCTCACCAGAACTAAATTAACTATAAGAACCACTGAATGTCGGGAGACGGCGTAGCGCCTTTTTTTCGAGTTATGGGGTTAAAAAACTAGAAGATGAGGGTGAAATCGTAGCTAACATTATAGCGATCTCGGTAGTGTTTTAGTTTGACTAGATTTAATGAGTATGAAGGGGACTATTGAGCTGGTACGAATTTCCTTTGAGGAAATTACTCCATATGGAGCTGCGTTCTTCACTGATGTCGTCGTGCTGCGTCTGGTGGGCACCGTAAACAATCGTGGCGATTATCGCGGCGATTCGCTTGAGATTATAAAATTTGCATAATTGATTGTAATTTTTGGATTAGCTTGATTAACCATGGACCATTCTGTATTGGAAAAGACAGTAGCATTCTCTTCGATAAATGGCTCAGTTTCAAGCTGTTTGTCAAGCAGCAGCGAGAAAATGTGTTTGTTTTAATGTCTAACTTTTTGCTTCCTGTCCACTACTTTCTCATGCTAGGATATCATGTGAAATACAACCACAATGATGCTGAGATATTTGTAAAGCTCAGATTTTAGGCCAGATTCAAACCCGCGGTTACCCTTTTCGGGAGCTCATGTTTTATCCATTTTCCCGCCGAGGGCTTTGCTTTGTCTTTTTCTCGGCCGGTTTTTTTCCTCTCCCACTGCCATCAGCAATCACTCATCAACGAGAATGATTTGCGGAGCACAAACAAGCACTGGACACAATTATGCTTGGTTTCGAATCTGGCCTGAGTCTTAGTTTTGCAAATTTTCTCAGTATCATCGTTTCCTTATTTTAGCTTCGTGATTCTAATTGGCATTTAGGTTCACATGAAAACTCTTCTATTCATTGGGTTCTGTATTCTAGAGCTCGCCTGCGAAGGTTTTTCTAGTAATTGCATTGTGAATTTTAATGGTATATTCAGAACCTGTGTGTGTCTTTAACGTAGTTGTTAGTTCTAGAAATAATTGTTTCTATGGACGCATGTATTGATTGCTCCGTCTTGACGGAAGATCGTGTGGTGTGCGCTTCAGAATGTTCTCCATCTAACTTATAAGTCATTGATTTGAAAAAGTTTCTTTTTTGCGTAATCCCTTGAGAGCCTTATCGGTGTCATCGTATTCGCTTTTAGACATTTATTTGTCGGATTAAAGCTTGTCGCAATGCGATTAGATTCCTTCGAGAACGTCATAAGTTCTTAATTACTTTTTCGGATGGAAATCATGAACTGGTTATCCACCTGAGTTGTCTCTTTGATAAACACCGTTGATCATCCCCACTTCGACACTCAGGAACACTTTTCATTCATAATATGGTTGTAGATCGTGGTAGTGGTGGGATGATAAGGGGTGTTTTATCTCTGTTCTCATCCTTGATACTTGAACGGCCCGTCATCACTAGTTGTGCGGGTCCCAGCACAATCATCAGCCTTCGGAGATTTGCTGGTTAAGCCACTATGGTTCCCTGGAATCCCGAGTACAGCCTGGTCAAAGTTTGCCGTAGATTATCACCACAACAAGCAGTCTCAACCCTTGTGGATCAGAGGGAGATTTGCCATCATGCGACTTTGATACCAGAACGGTAGTGGATCCTGGTATTGGTATTGGTTTACTCTTAGCTAGGCTTCCGGATGAAAACGCCGGACTCCTTCTCAGCTTGCGAGACCCTGCCGGGGGCAAAAATCCCTCAGCTGTACATCGCAGTCCGACCACACAGTAACACCTCCAATCCACGATGAGGCGATAAACCGTTGGGGCGTTCTTAGAAATTAGAACGATTCTAAGTTTTCATCATAGCATAATATTTTTAATAATTTCAATAGTGGTTTGAATATTTTGTTGTCTTCTGTCAGCCGTTTAAAAGGAGCACAAAACGAGTGACCATCGATGGCGATCGTCATCCGTAAACCCATGTGGGAGGTTTTTTGGAACAATTTGATGGATTCATTTATTTATTACGCAACCGCTTAATCAAGTACAAATTAGAATCCAGTAGTGTTCAGCTTTTCAAACTTGTTATGGAGATGGAATTCACATCGTATCGCTGCGATGAGGAGGTGATGGAGGGCTTGTACTTAATTTAAAGGGCGGTTTTTCGATGGTTTATTTATTATTTTCAAATTAGATTTGTGCATCGTCGTTGGATCGCTGGGGTATGAGAATTCTCACGCAGATGTCTCGTATTAGACGCAGCCAGCCACCCAGATCCCTCGTTGGACGACAGAGGCTTGTGCTACTCTATCGACTACTCATCACCAGCTTAAGATGTTTTCGTAGTTATTTGGTATTGAGCGACATCGCTTAGAGGGACTTCAGCTGTTACAGTCGGTATTTACTTAGAAAATGGTTTCATTTTGAGTAGCTTTGTGGTTGCTTTCTCCCATGTGTACCTGAATATCATGGGTTTCTGTGAAGCAACTTTATCGCAGTAATTTGTGGCTGTCTCTCAGCATTACTTGGCTTTTTTGTTCCCTTTTATTTGTTCGTTTTAAGTATTTTATTTGCTTTGATAAATCTTTTGAATGATTGTGAAAAATGTTAAAGTTCGATTATCGCTGTTTGTTTCTTTTACAAATTATTCCAAGTATGCTCAATTACGTAAACACACAACATACTGGCTTGGCTCTTCACACGTTACCTGTCTGAATGCAAGGCTCCTACTCAGTGGAAGACCAGCAAGATCGTGCTATTGTTCAAGAAGAGTGATCTACACGATATCGGCAACTATCGTCCAATCTGATTGCTGTCTGTCGTTTACAAACTTTTCACTCGAGTTCTAAATTTTAAACGGGATTGACAGAACACTGGACGAAGGACAGTCATATGAGCAAACAGGGTTTCGAAAAGGATTTAGTAACGAATATCTCCGAATGCTCCATTTATATCTATCTAGGTCGGGAAATCGATATGATGAACGACAGCTCCAGAGCTGAACTGAAGGAAACGAGCGGCTTGTGGAGCTCTCAAGAGCATTGAGGATGTAGTGAAGAGAGCAAAGAACACCCGACTCCGTGCCCACGTTTTCGACTCAACGGTACGTCCTGCCCTGAGGTATGCGTCAGAAACTTGTTCGTTGCGTAAACAGGATGAAAGATCGCTCAGCGTTATCGAACGCGCAGTCGAAAGGACGATGCTAGGAGCATCCCATATCACGCAAGTAAGGGAAGGGATCCAAAGCTCCGATCTGCGTCAACTATCAAAAATCAAAGATGCCGTTCTATGCGCCAAACAGTCGAAGATAAGGTGGACGGGACACGTAATGCGTATGAATGACAACCGATGGACAAGAGCCGTCAGTGAATGGATTCCTCGGGATGTCAAACGTACTGCAGGAAGACCACCGACTCCATGGTTGCAGTTCTTCATGAAGAGTCAAGAAGAAAGATATGATGCTCGACGAGTCCCTAGAGCGAGCAGAACCCACTGGGCTACTCTTGCACGCGATAGGGAAAAGTGGAAGATTTTCGGCGCCCGCTCGAGTCACTCGACGGTCAATGGGGCTACAGGTGATACAGGTGATGCTCAATTACGAATGTTGTTTTTACTAGCGTCTTGCTATTATGCAGTTCTTTTTGAAGTGGTAAATAAAAGATTTTCTAGTTTTATTTTACCCAATCGGTCCTTCACTTCCACTGTACGGGTATCAGCACTTTTCGCATTCGATTCCTTCCCTCGTATCCATCATCTACAAAGGGTCTTCCGACTTTTTACATGCGGATTCGGTTGCTGCTTGATGATAATGCTTTCTTTATGAATGTCGCTAAATGCCGGCCGCGTCGATTCTCCCTTGAATCCTAGAATAGCCGGATGGGCTCTCGACTTAGAGTATGGAGAGTGATCTTTTCCCAGACAGCTTTGGTACCAATTTCCCAACTCAGAATTGATAAGAGACTTAGTGAGCTCGGAGCGAGGTCGCATCGACATAAGTAACTTTCCATTTCCTGGCTCGCGGTCTCAAAAAAAAGCGATTGGATTGAAGTTATGAAGTTATGTGTTAAAATCTTCTCAATGGAATAAGTAGATATAGGAAGCTGTAGCTTGGAGAAACGCTTTCCAACAAGAGCGAAGTTTCATCATTTCGCACAGTATTCAATGAACTTTTTTCTTTTTTTCCTTACTTTTCACCTTTTCTCTTTTCTTTACCGCTATCGTTTATTATTCAAGAACTAAAATATTATTTGCTATTCCTCTGAGGCGTAAAATGACAAACTAGATGTTGCATTCCTTTTTGTAGGGCTGTTTTTATAATTTATGTAGTGTGTAATGTAGCCAAAGTGGCGGATAGCACAGTGATAGTGCTCGTCAGCATGAACATGATGCTAGTTGGATTCCACTCCGGGCCAGCTAAGCAGCGCTCCAGCCAGCGGCTCCAGGGAACATTGTTGGATTAACATTCAACGACATTTGTGATGAAATGGAAATCTCCAAACGGCAGCCGAAGCCACACGTAAAGTTGGAAGATCTTCGTGGACAGTGGATGCGAGGAAACGAATTGAATATGAGAAGTGCTGGGATCTGGACAGTAGACGTGAAGACGGGTCAAAGAAAATAAAAAAAATAAAAAAGTTGATGTAGCCGATAATAGTGTTTAGAAAAAACAGTGAGACTTTATTGTTTTCTTTTTAGTACAACCTAGTTTTTTTAGTAACAATTTGTGATGTACAACCACATCCTTGCTGAGACATGAACAAAACTGAGATCTTAGGGTAGGCTTCTCACCCGTGATTACCCTTTCTCGAGGACTCACCTGGTATCCACCACACCAACCAAGGCTTTTGCTGCGGGAATGATCTGGGGGATTTCGGCATTGAACCAAGTTAAGCTGAAACTGCGGTCTAAATCGGAATGTTCGAACTTGAGGAGCATGTGAACCCATGCTAGAGGTAATCGAGCGTTCGAAGCTTTCCACTGAGGTGCAGAGTTTTGACCATATCTAGGCGTCTTTGTGGTTGCATTTCACATCGTAACCTGCCGTGAAGAAATAATAGAAAATAGATAAAAATTTCCAACATCCTGGTTACTATTATTTTTGACAATCCAGTGGTTTGCAGGATGTAGCATAAGCCGCAAGGCAAACGGTTTGCCTCCTTCTAAAGCCTTTTTTGGACTACAGCCACCCCAGCAATTCCGTTCTACCGTACCCTACTCCCTGCCTCTGTATATATATATATATATATATATATATATATGTATGTA